ATAATATTGGGCACTACCACATATGCAACATGTGTTGTTGAGGCGATAGCAGGGTCGGTCCCCATGATCCCTGCCACAATGCTGACAGATCTTACCGTATCCTGCCACTGGAGCCTGAGGGGGAGCTTAGATCACTAGCCTGGGCCTCTTGTTCTATTGAACATGCGCAGTAGGTGCTGGTCTGTGGGGTGGAGCTGAGGGTATGAGGTTTCATGCTGCCTGAGAGAGGGTGCGGAAGCTCCTCTCCACTAGTTGTGCCTTGGCCAGAACGATCAAATAACTCCTGAGCTCCAGCACAAATTAATGCTATCTGTTCTCTGGGTGGAGACCCCACTCGAACTTTCTAGCCTTCTTACCTTCATCCAACAATATCTCAGGGAATATCGGCCCAACTCTAAAAACTTGCGAGCATATTCTGACACAGTTATGTTCCCCTGGACCAACTATACAAACTCCATCTCCTTCAGATGTCGGAGATACTCTGGAAGGTATTCTACATAAAAAGCTGTCAAGAACTGTTCCCAAGTAACTGAAACAGGTAGGGTGGTCTGTTTGAGTTCCCACTAGCGGTCTGCTTCTCCCACTAGCATGTACTCGACATCTTCAAAAGAGGATCCCCCTACAAAAGTAGATGGGTTTAATCTCTTATACCTCTCTATGTAGCCTGGGTCAATCATGGGAGGAGCTGGGTCCTGTAGAATAGGGACTAGTCCATGCTGAGGATAGACTGAGGGGGCCCTGCGGTGGTACTTACTGTTACGGTGGAGGCACCGAATTGTACTGTGGCGGTGTCGAGTGGTACTGTAGCTGGGGCACTGGCTCATATTGTGGTGGTATTGGGTGGTACTGTAGAGGAGCAGGGTCATACCAGAGTGGCTCGGGATCCTTTCGCTGCAAGGGTGGCTCAACCTATGGCAGCGGGGGAGGGTTAGGTAGCTCCCTCATCTCCTCACGGCCCTGCTGGGCCGCAATGAGTCTCTGCAGCATCTCAAATATCCGATCAACATCTTTCCTAAGTGAACTATCCTGGGCTGCTCGGTTTAGTGGGGGTTTTCCTCACCTCATCTCTTTGTACCTGCATTTCATAAGGAAGGGTTGAGTGATAATTCATTATTTTGGTGTTCCTTAAGGATTATTGTGTAAGGAATGGGTCCGAGTAACTTAACTCTATACCAACTGTAACAGCCCTGGAAATATTTAAAGGAAATAAATAATAACTTAAATGCGGAAGCGAAGTAAAACATTAAAGTTTACATTCCTTACATAATAACTTAAGTACTAAGCAGTATTACAGAATTCATTCTTTGAAAGAAATACGAGAAATAAAGAAATAAACGGAACATTGAAAATATCTAGCATCTACTCGCAATCTTCTTGCGGATTGGGCTCTGGAACCTGGTCCTCTTGATCTGAAATAGTTAAATAAAAGATGAGCTACACTAGCC